GTTATGTTTCTGTTTTTAGAGGTTTTAGCTTTGTTTTGTTTTTTGCTTTTTAAAGTTAATTAAAATGCGGATGATGACTAATGACTAACTTAATACAATATAAATTTCAAATTAAATAACTCAAATTTCAAATTTTCCGTTGTCTACACTATAGTTTACATTGTCTACATAGTTTACATAATCTACATGGAAAAAAGTGGATGTAAACAATACGTATAGATAACGAGTAGATAAACCGCGTAAAGTAGATTTCATATAGTCTACGGCACATCCCTGAAATTAACTAAAGCACTATACACCGAACATCTACCACCAATAAGCAAATATGAAATTAAATCTGCACTCGAGAAAATGAAAAGTAACGAAGCACCTAGTCCGGATGATATAATAATCGAATATATCAAGCTGGGAGGCACAAAACTATTGGGATATTGTCAACTACTTAAGTAAATACCACTCGGTACATCAATTTTACTAAAGTTTGTTGACGAGTCAATATTTATTTGGTATAAATACCGCGCTGAAATTCATTATCGGCAGACTAACAGCCGTATTAAGCTCGATGGCCGTATTCATAGTCAATCGCCAGCGAGTTGCCGTGTGCTGGGCCAAATACAGCGACTGGCTGGCGATTGACTATGAATACGGCTGTAAGGCTAGTGCAAAGTACCTTAAATGGGAAAAGCCCCTCTAGCTAAGTCTCCTCCAGGTGCAAACTACAGTGACTCTATTACCACAGTGGCGACAATTGCTGTCTTATTTTTGATTGGTTTTAAAATCCCATATATTTATATTGAAACCGCCGCCATCTTGTTCCCAACCTCTTGTTACTTTTAAATATGACTATATGGGATTTAGGTGAACATCCATCATAAATCATGGAAAAAAACACGTATGTGATATGTGATGGATCTAATAATGGTCATCAAATACGTCGATTTCAATTTTTTATGATAGATGTCCACTTAAATCCTATATATTAATATTTAAAAGTAACAAGAGGTTGGGAACAAGATGGCGGCGGGACCTCTATTGTCACCACTGTATGTAAAGGTTTATTTAGACACTGTAGTGCAAACTACCTTTAATGGGAAACGCCCTTCTGGGAGTATTGAACGCAGCACACTAGGTCCAGTGCAAACTACCGTTAATGGGAAACGCCCTTCTGGACGTGTCTCAAACCTAGCTTCAATCACGCCAAGTGTACAGAAGGTACATAATACAGTACGTCCCCCCGTAGAAGAGAGGTCATGCTACTATTTTTAGGGTAATATTATTATTATTCAATACATTATCTTATTATACCTATACCAAGCGAGTTTCTCTCTACCTGAACCCCACCTCTACGCCCCCAGGTCACGCTCCTGTTGTGACGTCCCAGGACGAAACGTATAGAGGGGTTGTGACAATCAGGCCTATGATGTATCCTCTCCTGTTATTTTACCAGCCATGTTATAGCTCAACATCTATACTTCTCTCTATTTTGACGTATAGAATAAACAGTGATAGACAACTTAACGCTGCTGTTAAAATAACAGAAAATGATACATCATAGGCCTGAATATCTAGAAACAATTTTCAATGACTGCTTAGATAAAGGTGAAATACCTACCTCAAGCATGAAAAAACGCGGACGTAATTATCCTCTTTAAGAAAGGGGCCAAGGAAGATATTAAAAAATACAGGCCGATCCCTTGCTGTCTCACACATACAATTAAGCTCCTAACAAGAATAATAACGAACAGAGTTACCAAGCTTGACAAATTTCAGCTTCAGCCACTGGAACAAGCCGGTTTTCGTGGGGGGTGCAGCATGATCGATCATATCCACACATTACGGCAAATAATAGAAAAAAACACTGGAATATAATCAACAGGTCTTCATCGCGTTTGATACACTGGTAAAATGGGCTTTTATAAATAATCCAAAAATTTCGTATCGACAGCCAATACATACAGCTGATCAACCGGGTGATCAACGCTCTCTACCACGATGCAACCATGACAGTCCAAGTATTCGGGGAAAACTGATCCAATAAACTTATGGAGAGGCGTGAGACAAGGAGATACAATTATTCCCTAAAATATCCACTACAACTCTGGAGGACGTCTTCAAAACATGGGAGGCCAAAGGTATTAACATATCAATGGTGAAAAATGAAACAATCTTCGCTTTGCAGATGCTATTGTACTTCTTGCCGAGAGTATAGATGATTTGAAGTCCCTGCTACAGGAGTTACAGTGCCGCAAAAAACCACGGCCTTCAAGTGAACGCTGTAACAAAGTTACCTCAATTTTACATTCATATCGCGAATTATTTTAATTTATTTCCGAAATAATAAATAAATATTCAGTACAGTAATATTTAAACGCATGACCTTGCTAGCAAACGCTTCATTTTCGTCGCAAAGGGACAAACACAGGCCCAAGCCGCATTCCAATGCAGCAGCAAAACCGTCGGCGTCGTCACAGGGCGGCGATTCCCTATTGTACTACGACTATAAATAGGGCAAAAATTGCGAATCATAGTCAGTACCAGCCGACGCTTGAAACCCATCAAGATCACCAGCAGTAGTACGAAGCCGATCCCGACGTGACCAGTTGCCAGATTTGTTCAGTCTGGAATCACCGATCAGCCCGAGGTAAGCCGTCTCCAGCCATAGCGGTAAGTTCAGTCCTCACTTTATACCGTCTCACACTTCGCACCAGTAGGTGAAAGAATAGACACTACAGGCTTTCCTGCAATAGAGATTTCGCCCGAGTACCTTGGACAGGCAATTTCTATTGCAGTTGAACGCTACCGGATCTTGCCCGAGTACCTTGAACGGGTGATCCGTAAGAGGGATTTTTGCCTGAGTACCCTGCACAGGCATTTCCCTCCGAAGGCTTGTGGTGTCACGCCGCGAAGTTACCAGACACTTAAACTTCCCTTGGCAATAGGGATTTCGCCTGAGTACCCTGAACGGGCAACCTCTATTGCCGAATATTACCCGAGTACCCCGGACGGGTGATCTATAAGAGTCTTTCGTCTGAGAACCCTGAACAGGCATTTCTTTCGGAAGTTTAAGTGTATGCCGGAAATAAAATTTACTATCACGAGGACTGATACTTCCGTTATCCGAGATCCGTATTTTTTTTTCTTGGGTTACCGGAGTTTTTACCATTATTGCCTGGTACTACTAATTTTCACTGCTACTGCTCAGCGTCATTACATTTCCGTTACGACACCTCACCTGTATAAAGAGTAATTAGGTAACTCTGCATCTCTGCGCTCTGCCTGTATCACCTGCTTTTTCGCACCGCCGTTCATAGCTTTATTCTCTCACCGTTTGTTCGCACTGTTATAACACCCTCTCTTGCATGTTCTCGCTTGCTCTCCATTTTTTTTTGCCTTTTAAAATTATTATTAATATTTTTTTTTTATCTTAGAATATCCCGTCTAGGTCCAATACGTCCATATACATATATATATATATATATATATATATATATATATATATATATATATATATATATATATATATATATATATATATATATATATATATATTTTTCTTTCGTAATACAGAGGTTTCCATTTTGGTTTCATCCACTGTTTTATTGATTATCCTGACCCAAACACCTTCAGTAATTTTTCACAAAACACTTTAAGGCTTTTCAGGTGTTTATACCAGGGACTCGCCGAGTCTTGAGTAAGTATCACTTGCGACCCCTGGATTACCGTTTCTCCTCTGTATCAAAGCTACCTGGTGCACGTGGGCCCTCAACCACTTTAATCCTGAGGGTGGCGCCCGAGACATACCGCCGAATAAACCCTAACTGGGAATCCGCCCTGATTACACAAAAGTTAGCGCCTTACAACGCAGCAAAAACAAAAATAATGCCTAACTCCAATGATGTTACAGATATTGACCTTGAGAACAACAGTATATATAGTTAAAATCGTAGACGAATACGTGTACCTTAGACAAAGAATGCCGTTCGATAGGGATAGTCAGAGAGCGGAGATATCCAGAAGAATTCAGCTTGGATAGACCGCATATGGAAAACTTAGTGATATCCTTAATTCCAAATTTCCACATTATCTAAAAACACAAGTGTTTAACCAATGTGTCCTACCGACCTTAACGTATTCTGCAGAAACATGGAGTCTTATTAATGAGGTGAGAGTACCATGGAATGTCTAAGAACTGCCCAAAGGAAAATGGAAAGAAAAATGCTAGGAATTCGACTACAAGACCGAAAGACAAATGAATGGATCAGACAAAGGACAAAAGTTATAGACATCGAAGAACCGAATGGATCAGACAAAAGACAAAAGTTATAGACATCGCAGAACGGGTGGCAAGACTAAAATGGAAATGGGCTGAGAATAACAGATGATAATAGATGGACCAGAAACTGAAAAGACAACTGAGTGGTGACCCAGAACAACTTAAAGGAACCCAGGGCGGCCAAGAACGAGGTGGAAAGATGACGTCCAGAAACTGGCGGACCCATTGCGGATGAGTCAGACGATCGACAAGAGTGAATGGCGACAAATTGGAGAGGCTTGTCTAGAAATGGACCGAAAGAAGCTGAAGATGATGATGATGATGACGCCATCTATAGAAAAATATCTTACACTACTCTTGCCGTTAAAAAGGTTATTGAACAAAATTTCTTACCATTTTCAGTAAAAAACCATACAACAAAACCGGGGGTTCTTTAATCAAACTCTCTCTACTTGACTCTCTTCTTTGAACCAGTCCAAGTCCAGTGAAACTAGTGTCAGTGAAATTAAAGTAGAAAGTACAGCAGTCGCCCTCTAGTGACAACTCGAACAACTCGTAGAACCTTTTGTGTCAAACCAATAAATGCGGTTTCGAGAAGCAGAATCGTAAATCCTAAAAACCAATTTGTCGATTAATATTAAATTTGCAAAACAAAACATAACCTCACTTTTACAGAGTCCTTCAGAAACCGAAACACTTTATTTTCTCAAATTCTCAAAAACTAAACATGAATTTAGCCCAAACACTCGTAAGGTAATGAACCAATTAGCCAGAAAAATCGAATCTACTTAATCAAATTTTACTAGGAAGCTGCCAACAACAATAAGATATCCAAGCACGATATCCAAAATCTCAATTTGCCAAAAAAGCACTACCCAGGCAGCCTCATCGTCTTCAAGTAGCAGCAGTAGCTCAGACAGCGACGACGAAATTAAAAAGAAGAAGTTGAGCAGCAATGAAGCAGCTGCAAGGCTCAACACTTTGCTGCAAGAAATGGTAACAACTAGCAATAAGTCTTTCAGCGAGCTTAAACTGGCTAAGCCTAAAAATAAGAGAGCAGAGGGTCGTAAGGAGAAGCAGAAGCAAACTGAGACTGTAGCAGAACCTGTAGGTCAGTTATGTGAAAGTTTAGTTGTAGCACAAATTATATCAAATCGCTTTTTATTTATAGAAAAACAAGTAGCAAATGCAGTTAAAAACGTAGCTGAGTCTTTGGGAGGCGACATCAAACAAACAGAGTCAGAGTTGCTCATGAAACTATCAAATCCTGTTGAAAATTCCAGTGTATCAAATACTAGTCTAAGGTAAGAAAAATATAGATACAATTTGAAAATTTTTCTCATAACAATCGAATTCCAGTGATATACTTAAAGGAATGAAAATTGAGAGAGAAGTTAAGCCACCACAGCAATCTAGAGCAGAACAAGTTAGAACTGCTTTGAATAAAATAAGCACTGGTTCTGGAGTAGTGCAAAGACGAGGTGATAATCAGAATCAGAGACGCTCCAGACAGCCTAGAATGCCAATGAATGTTGCTGAAGGGTACGTTTGAATTTCATTATCTAGGTTTTATTTGAATATTAAATAAAAGTCGATTGGGAAGTCCTATAAATATCAATATTGTCTAGTTGTCTATAGGACTAATAGATGGCGACACAATAGGTGTTTCTCTTTTTGCGTCCCCTCTTTGTTAATTTCAATAAGAGAGAAAAAGACATCAAGTCATGTCAAACAAAAGTCAATCCGTCAATCCAACCTTAACCTAATTTTTTGCCTTTTGATGTTTGTTGTTTTTTATCTTTATAATTAATTAAATAATTAATTATTATTACCCCGATCATTGGATATTATGAACTAACATTACACACTACCAAACTCCAAAATGAATCCCACCGAAGATATGTGTAAAAGCCTGGTAAAGTGGCTACAAAAACTGGTGCCCCAAAGAACGAGAAACATATCAGAAATCTGTGATGGGGTGGCTATGCTGGGAGCTCTGCAGCAAATCGAGCCCCAGTACTTTGGCAAACTGGAATCGAAAATCAAAAAGGACGTCGGCACCAACTGGCGATTGCGAGTGAGTAATTTGAAAAAAATCGCAGAAGCTGTGATGGAATATTATCAGGACGTGTTGACGTTGCAAATTTTGGAAAATGGGAAACCTGACGTTACGAAAATTGGAGAGAGCAACGATGCAGTGCAATTGGCGAAACTTTTGAGACTGGTTTTGGGTGAGTAACTTGATAAATTCTTCATGGAGACTGCCTTATTAGGCCCTAACTGAGGTGGTAACAACTCTAAAAACATGTACAGTCTGCCAGTCTGCAAATCAAATCAAATCAAATCAAATAGTATTTTTACTTGTTAAGCGTAGTTTTTCATATTTCGACGGGGTTTGAGTCAATGGGATTTTGCATGGGGGTTGAAAATGGTGAGAATTGTACTCTATTAATTTCATAATTCACAATTTTAACGCGAATAACGTGAAAATGACACAAATTCGTCTACGAGAAAATTGCATTATGTATATTTAGAGATGTAAAAAAACGTTTTTTTTTTCAGATTTGAAAAAAAAACATTTAAAAAAAAAACAGAAAAAAAAGGTTTTTTTTATTGATAAGCCATTTCACTTATTTAAAGTACTCCTGAGCGTGTTTAAATCGAACATTCAAAAACGTGCGTGTTTTAAAGTTACTAATGAAGCAAGTGTCAACGAATTTAGCATTCCACAATTATTAGTAATTTTTGATTTGAACGTATAGGTACCAATAAAAAAAAATAGTGTAAAGTATTCGTGGATAACTGCTCTTTAAAACACTTGCTCTATTTCGAGCACTCTGGCTGCGCCGTCGTGCTCGAAAAATCATGCGTGTTTTAAAGACCTTAATATCCACTTATACTTTAATATACTATTTTTTTGTTTTTTTCTAAATGATTCAAATGTAAAAAAACAGTTTTTTTTCAGAATAAAAAAAAACATGAAAAAAAACTAGAAAAAAAACATGTTTTTGTGTTTTTTTTTCCCAAATAATTTAATTTTAAAATTCGTGAGTATCTCCAAAAACGGACATTTGATAACCCTGGAGACGAAGTTACAGTCTGAAAATTCTTCAGACAGCGAAAGTGTCTCATATCAGTGATGTTCTGTTCTACCACCATTTCAACATCAATTTCGGAAAAAGTAACTTTTATTTAGGAAAATGTCAAGTCAAAGGCAAAAGTAAGCTATGAATGAATTTACATTTTCCGAATTTGAATTTCCTTTTTCCGAAATTAACTTTACTTTTTCCGAAATTACCATTACTTTTTCTGAAATTGATTTGAGTTTTTCCGGAAATGACTTGATATTTTCCTAAATAAAAGTTACTTTTTCCGAAATTGAGGTTGAAATGGTGTAGTATGTATGTTATATGAATATGATGAATGTATGATCTGATATATGTGTGATATAATATGATAGGTTGATGCATTGATGTAGGTATCATGTAGGTATCATGTACCTGACAACATGTTTTATTTACATAATAATATTTTTCCTATGTTATTTCTAGAATAAAGCAATATTTTACGTTTTATCCATGACCATATTTCACTGCTTAAACCAATTTATTGTCCCAAAAAAAGTTTAATTGGCAAAAAACATAAAAAATGTATGGTGCTAAGTTTAGAAAAAAAACACAAAATCTGAAAAAAAAAACATTTGAAAAAAAACCATGAAAAAAAACCTGAAAAAAAAACAAAAAAAAACGGATTGTTTTTTTTTCAAGTTACATCTCTATGTATATTTCAAATAAGTCGGGAAACGGTTTATTAAACCCTGAGTTTAAATGCCTACGAACGAAGCGAGGAACAAGCAGGGTTTGGCATTTTTAAACAAGAACTTTAATGCTGTTTCATTGCCTTCTATGGTGCAATGTTTTATTTTATATTGCTCTATTTTTATTTAATTGTTTTTGTCACTTATTTAAATGGGTATCAGTATTGTCAAAATGCTTCAAAACTGTGTTGTTGCCTATGCCTAGTGGTGTGAGGTTAATTTACCAACCTAATATAATGTTATACTTTACCGTCCCACTGATATAATGTACAAGTCCATAAAATTAGGATTTCACTCGGGATTTCATCTGAGTTAAAGTCGTATTTATATATTTACCTACAAGCGTTTGGCTATGACGTTTTTACATAACCACTTTTCTAGTATTTGAGTTATGCCATGAGACTCATAATTCATAATACAACTAGTGGTGTTATGGACTAGGTTATGAATCTATAACTGTATATAACAACTATTATTGGTGATTTGACAAATGTCAAAGTTAAACACGTAAAGATAAAATGAAGGTAGACAACTACTCATAAACGAAAATAATTGAAAAAAAAAAATAAATCTTATTTTTTGCTTTGTACGTTGTATGTACGTACATCACACGTACGTTTAAACATGACTACAAAACTCGTGTAATTAGAACGACTCGGTCTACAAATTTTTCACACTCGATATTATAATCATGTTCATAAACGCACTTCTAATGTAAATAACTATTTTAAAATTGTATTTTGACATAACTCAATACATAGGTTAAACAAATATAACCCTTGTTTTTGTTTCAGTGTTTATAAAATAAATAAAAAATCTTTATTTTCTCTATTGTTTCTATTTTAAAAAGGTCGATACATATTAGAAATGTTACATAATTTTTTTGTTTTATACAGGGTGTCCCACTAAGGTCGACGAGGTACGTTATTATGGAAACCATAAGCCTTACGGCATCGGGATTTTTTTATATAATAAAAATAAAAAATATAAATATATGGGATTTTAGAACCAATCAAAAATAAGATAGCAATTGTCGCCACTGTGGGTATAGAGTCACTGTAGTTATATCATCGTGATTGCGCCCCCTAGCGGCCATCTTAGAAACTTGAAAATAATTTCCATCAATTTCTCTTGGCCGATTTAGTGAGGAAGAAAAAAATCCCGATGCCGTATGGTCTATGGTTTCCATAATAACGTACCTCGTCGACCTTAGTGGGACACCCTGTATTTTTATTTTTGACAATATATTCACTAAAATCCATTTAGAATCCAGGAATTTTTCGAGGCATTTCAGGGGAATTTTGAGGCATTTCGTAAAAAATTGGGAATTTTGGGGCATTTCCTAAAAAATGCCGGAATTTCTGGGCATTTTTGGGAATTTTGTGAAATATAGAGGCATTTCGGGGAATTTTGCGAAAAATGCCGGCATTTCGGGGTATTTTGATGTATATTTGGCGTTTGGGCATTTTAGTGTACAAATTTTGACCCGCGATTCACCCCTCGCACACCCCTTATTAAAGAAAAAAGGTAATGAGAAAAAAGCTAAACCTAAGATCATTAACATAACAAAAATGCTAACATAAGCAAAAATAGAAGAGCAATAAACTAGGTCCGTTATATTAATCAGATTATTCCCATGTTTCCTAATAATTACTAATTATAGCAATATTACCAATATTACCTAATATTACCAATGTTCTTACCAAATAATAAATTAGCAGTAATTTTGCATCACTGGTATGGACCAATATGATTTTAATTCTGAAGATTTCAAAGAGATTTTATGCTCTGGCCATCCCAAAATCGTGGAATTTTTAATTTTCTGCATAATGACATCTTCAGAAATAGCCATCAAAAGTTTCTGTTCATTTTGTTTAGATGTTGCAAGGAGAGTCTGTATTTTTATGTGTTTTTCTAAATAATCAGTATTTATTAAGTCACTTGCAGGATCTCTACTATTGCATCCGCTATTTCTATTTTCTTTCCTGGTACGAATTCAAGGGTAAATTGGTATCTTATCAACCTGATTGCCAATCTCTGAAGTCAAGGAGTAAGATCATCAAGTGATTTTTTGAGTAAGCCTAGAAGGGGTCTGTGATCAGTTTGAAGTCGAAATTTGTTTCCGTAGAGTTAGAAATGGAACCTTTCACAGCCAAAAACTAGGGCAAGCAATTCCTTTTCGATGTGGTTGTACCTTTGTTGAGTTTGAGTTAAAGAAACGGAAGCAAACTCAACTGGAAGATTATCTTGCATGATTACAGCACCTAGGCCATAAGGGCTTGCGTCCACGGATAATATGGCCTCTTTCAGGGGATCGAAAAATGCTAAAACTGGCGCGGAAATTGCTAGGTTTTTTAATCGATCGAAAAATAGATTTTATTTACAATCATACATGTAATGTTGACTTTACTGACTTTTAAAAAGTTCGAAAATGTCACTTTTTTTACTTTTACTTTCGGCCCACGGCCCGTGGGCCGAAAGTGAATGAAATTTTTAAAATTTATTGTATTTTTTGACTTTTACTTTCGGCCCACGGGTCGAAAGTAAACTTTCGACCCGTGGGCCGAAAGTAAATGAAATTGTTAATTATTGTATTTTTTAGTTTTAATCCAAATGAAAATTTCAAAATTCGAATGATTGTAAATAAAATAGTATACATACCTCGGTGAAAAGTTTCATTACTGTCTCGAAATTTTAGTTAGACCACGGCTGCGCCTCGGTCTAACTAAAATCTCTCGACAGTAATGAAACACTTTCCACCTCGGTATGTAATATACTATTTCTGACCACTGCCATCCATTTTTAGCACTTAAAAGTTTTCTTAACGGTTCCATCACTTGTGAAAGATTAGGGATAAACTTCGCAACATGAGTAATCATACCCAAGAACCGCAAGTCTTTCTTATTTTCCGGCGGTTTCATGTTTTTTATTGCTTGGGTTTTATTATTATCCGGAGAAACCCCACTTTCACTTATTATGTGTCCAAGAAATTTGACTGTTTTTTGACAAAATTTTGATTTTTCTAAATTTAAAGTTAGTCTGCTTTTTGCTATTTTGGTTAGAACATTGTCTAAATTTTGATTGTGTTTTTCCAATGAAGAACCACAATCGAGAATATCATCGAAATAATTTATAACCCCACTATAAACACCCTCCAAAGTCTTATAAAGGAATCGTTGAAAATTTTCGGGCGCCGAACAAATACCGAAAGGTAAACGAACGTAACGGTACCTGCCCTAAGGCGTAGCTATCGTGCACATTTTGGATCTACCATAGTCTAATGGTATTTGTAAAAAGGCTTGAGAAGCATCAAGTAAAGTAAAATACTTTGCGTTATGAAGTTCACCAAACAGAGAGTCAATAGTAGGAATATGAAAGTTCTAGCGCTTTATGTACACATTCAATGCTCTAGGGTCCATGCAAATTCTGATATCACCTCACCATTAGACTTTGGCACTATGACAATTGGGTGCACCCAGCTTGTTGGTTCAGTAATGGGTACAATAAGTTTTTCACTTACCATTTGATGCATCATTTGTTTTACCTTATCCTTGAGCGATAGTGGAATATTGCGTGCAGCACATACTTTAGGCTCAAAATTGCCTGTTAATATTATTTTATAGTTTTTGTTAACTTTTCCAATTCCACTGAAAACACTGCTATGTTTGTCAAGAATTTGTTTCAGATTTCCTAGTTTGAATACTTCATTTGGGGAGGAAATTTCACAAGTGTTATTTACAATTTTCAAAAGTTTGGCAGCCTCCAACCGTAGGATAGAAGAAGCTGATTGATTGCCTACTATTTAATACATGAAACGATAGATCTGATGTTTGGCGGAATCACAGAGCAAATTTATTTGGCCCAAAGTATCTATCTTGTATATGATAGCAAAACAGATGAAGTCTTTGAAATAAGTATCACTTTCTACATCGACTTGATACTTTTTGCTACAGAATTTCTGATAATGGCCTTTACGATCACATTTTGAGCAGACACAGTTATATGCTGGACATTGTCTTTTTGCATGCCCTGATCCACACTTGGAACACGTTTTGATCCTAAAATCTTTTTCATAGTTAGATGGACCAGCTTTTTCTTGAGACTGCTGAGCATACCCAGGTGTTGAGGATTTGTAATATTGACCTTCAGATTTTCCTGACACGTGTTTATACTTTCTACATTTCACAGCATGTATAGCTTGATCTTGATCTTAAGAAATTACTTTTTGAGTAGCTATACTAGCTTTCATCGACCGACAAATCTTTATTGCTTCAGCCAGTTTGAAATCAGATTCCTGCAAAAGTCTTTCCTGGATGTTGCTATCTTTAATACCCAAAACAAGTCTATCTTGGATCAACACATCAGTTTCCTTGAATTCACAAGTTGAAGCAAGCTGTCTCAGGGCTGTGAGAAATTGGTCTACAGTCTCTGTTTGTTGTTGGTCCCTCCTAAATAACTTAAAGTGTTCGTAAACAAGGTTTTTAACAGGGAGGCATCAAACTTTTTCAAAACAGTTAAAAGCTTAGTTTTATCCTCTTTTACAGAGTATTCAAAAGTGCGATTTTCCGTTAGCTAAAATATAGTTTTCAAACTTCTGCTTCGATAATTTCTAGTGTGAAGTTAAATCACCTGAGAAGCTAAGTTCATTGGGCGTCCTACTGTCCGACATTGTTCTCCTGCTTTTTCCTACAGCTTAGTGCGGTCGTAAACTTTTGGTACAGATGTCCTGGGTTTGTATTTGACAATAGCTGTCGTGGTAAAGCTCCAGCTTATAACCCCAGCACTTAATCACGCCGGTCGTCTTTTCCACAACTAGATACGCTTTTACGGGTCATTGGCTTTTACGCGCTGCCACCATGTAATGTTTAGTTGAGTTGAACAAAAATTAAATTAAAACAGGCAGAGAATTATCTATAATAGCTTTATACTTAATAAAATAGGTCCGAGAATAGGTCGTTACAGTCGCGACAGACTACTGACATTAAAAGTATTATTCCGTTGCAGACTTGGCAAGACATGATACATGAAAATTGCCAGAAAAAAATATTGCTATATTCGAGGCTATAAAGAGTGGCTACCCCCAAGCCTAAAACTGTATTCAACTTAGCTTTGGATTATAATACTCAACTTTCATTTCTTTTATTCCAGGTTGTGCAATAAACTGTGAAAGAAAACAAGAATACATCACCCTAATGATGGAAATGGAAGAATCAGTCCAACAAAACATAATGCAAGCAATCCAGCAACTTGAAGAATTCACTGTTGGTCCTGGCAAAACAGGATTAAGCTTATTAATCTTAGACAGCGACGCTAGAGTGGCCAAGCTAGTTGCAGATCTGGACTCGGCCAACGAGGCTAAAGAAGCTCTAACTTTCCAAAACCAAAGTTTGGAGCAGCAAGTGCAAATCTTACAAGAAGAGCGCAAAAATTTGGAAAGTCAACTTGATGCTATGTATCAGAAAGAGGCCAAAGGTCCTGATCCCAGAAAGCAAATGGAACTGCTAAAAGAAGAACTTTTCAAGGCAGAAGTCATGAGGGATGATTTTAAAGCGAAGCTTTATGAGCAAGAGAAACAGATGCTTGCTTATCAGGAAAAAATAGCAGAGTTGCAAATTGCTGCTAGTGATTCTTCACGTTTGAAAGATGAAGTGGATGCCTTAACAGAAAGTGCTAACAAAGTAAATGACTTAGAGCTCGCACTAGCTTCATATAAAAAACGCCTGGAAAACTATCAAGACTTGAAAAAGCAAGTGCAAAAATTGGAAGAAAAAAACACAGAGTATATTCAAAAAAATATGGAAATTGAAGAAGAATTGACGAAAAACAACACATGGAGGACTCAGTGTGAAAGCTACAGAAATCAACTTGTAGCCCTGCAACAAAGACTTGATGAAGAAACTCAAAAAGCTGACAGGGCCCAATTCACTTTGGAAAATTTTGAATCAAAAAATACTGCTTTGCAAGCTGAAAGAGACCGACTTTTATTGGAACGTGACACCTTAAGAGAAGAAAATGAAGAACTTAAATTAGGTCATGTAAAAGTTAATCAATCAGGCGCAGCAGTTGCACAAGAACTAACACCTGCAGAACTAAAAGAACGTCTCAGATTTTTGGAAAGAGAAAATAAAACTTTAAGAGGCGCCCAACATGAGTTGGACACCAAACAATCTGCTTTAGATCAAGCTTTAAGCAGAGCAGAAAAATTGCAGCAGCAAAATCGTATCTCAAATCAAACTCTATTGAAATTAGAAGCACAACTTGAGGAGCTACGTGGAGGTGAACCAACAGGCGCCAACTCTTCAATGACAGTGAAAAAATTGCAAGAAGCTTTAGCTGCAAAAGAGCACGAACTTCAAGCCTCTCAAGCCAAGCATCAGAGAAATCTGGAAAAGGCTCGCGAAGTGGCCGCTCAACTGGAACAAGTTGAAAACACCAGAGCTAGGGCTGGTACTATGGGAGCTCTGGAAGAAAGACTTATAGCGGCAGCTTTTTATAGGCTGGGAGGGGTGTTGCAAAGAGAGGCAGCTGACGAAAGAATGGCCGTTTTGGCTGCACAGGGACAGTCTTTTTTGGCCAGGCAGAGGCAACCTGCTCCAAGAAAGCCTCAGACTAGATTTAATCCTAATAGATCAAAGTAGAATGATACTTTGGGATAATATACTAAGTGCAATTTTAGTAGAATTATTTATTGTTTTGATTTTTAATAATTATTACCTAGGATTTTAGTGGTATATCAATATAAAATTTCTAAAACTGTGTTTTTTATTTTATTCACTCTTAGTAGTTATAAACTGGATATTCATTCAAAGTACCTATTTTTTCTAGCCAAGAACCCCAAAATGTTGATTTGTTCAGTGGTGAAGCCTTGGGAATCTTTACCAATCCATCTGACCTTAAAGAAAGTCCACAAATTCCCACATGGCAAAAGCTCTATGAAAAAGAGTTGAAATTGGCTGTTACGCATCCTCCAGCAAATTACTTCCAGCAAGTGATTTTGTGGACTGAGCAAGGCAAATTCTGGCAGTTCCCCATCAATAACGAGTTTGGTATAATATGAAATTTACCAAAAAATTTTTCTAAATAATTTTTTCTTCAGGTCTAGAAGAAGAAAGCAAAGTTTACTTTGCTGACCATATCTTTCTTGAAGAACACCTCGAGCCATGGTGCCCCCCTAGAGGTCCCATTAGACATTTCATGGAGCTGGTTTGTGTGGGGCTCTCCAAAAATAACTATTTGACTGTCCAAGCCAAGAAAGAACACATCGAATGGTTTAAAAATTATTTCGAAGAGAAAAAGCAGCTGTTGCAGGAAGTGGGTGCTTTGGGTGACCAAGTCAAACAAAAAAGTATTGATAAAGAATGATAAAATGTTTGTGAATGAAAAATTAAACAATTGTTATAAAATATTATAATTTAATTAGGTTTTGTGTTGTTGAACTTGTATATAATATTGGTTTTGAGTTTGGGACAGCCTACAGAAAGAAAACTGATATCACAGATAACTACTATACTATCAGGCTGTTCATCTGTACTGCCTTTCTTGCTTCAAGCAGATCTCAGCAGCTGAACCGCGTTCACTTGTCCCATAACTCCCATATCCCAGCAGATCTTCTTGATTTTTCGAGCAGGTAGCAAGTACAAATGAACAGCCTATATAGCTAAACCTAAGTATATACTTTGTTGAGTATTGAAAAAAAAAACCACAGGTTATGGGCTCAGGTGCACACACACAGATAAAACTTATTCATGCCTGAACCTTCATAAGACAGCTTTTATCAAGCAATTCCAACTTGAATGCGTCTTATAGCAGTTTAAAACCTACTACAAGTACTACATAACCAAAGAAATTTATCAGCTGTGCTGATGTGTCTCTTGTTTTCAAACAAACACATTGAAAAATGATTATTTATTAAAAGTACTTTTGCTTCTAGACAAGCAAAATGAAATTGGTCAGTGTTATTCTAGTTTTATTTATATTTCCACTGAAAACATTAACATTAGAACTGAAAAAGCCCACTATTTTGGTGGCTGTTTTGGTAAGAAATAAACAGCACACTTTGCCCTACTTTTTATCGAATTTAGAAAAATTGGATTATCCTAAAGACCGGATATCGTTATGGTGAGAATCTGCATAATATTTTACCTAGCTAGCTACCTTACTTTTAATTGTATAGGTTTCGGTCAGATCACAACATAGACCAAAGTATAGGAATTCTTAAATATTGGTTTAAATCAGTGAAAAATGACTATCATTCAATTTATACAGAGTTTGAGGATAATAAGTCATATCCAGGTAAATTGTAGCACTGTTGCTGTTATGCCATAGAAAATAAAAACTGTTATTCCTAGGTGAAGAGAGTATTGCCCATTGGACCGATGAAAGATTCACTCATATGATGAATATGAGAGATTCTGCATTGAATTATGCTAGAAAAAAATGGGCTGATTATTTATTGGTAAGCTCAAACAGGGGCCAAGATACATATAAAACAATTTATTCCAGATGTTAGATGCAGATGTTTTTCTAACAAACCCAAACACCCTCAACTATTTGACATCGAAAAGTTTTACTATTGTCGCTCCAATGGTACAGTCTGTGGGATTGTACTCGAATTTCTGGCATGGGATGACTGAGGATTATTATTATTTACGAACTGAAGAATACAAACCCATCGTACATAGAGAAAATATCAGTTGCTATGCTGTACCAATGGTGCATAGCTGTGTTTTGGTGGATCTGAGAAGAGCTGAGTCTGATTTGTTAACTTATAGGTAATAATTATGGGTTTTTATTTGTATCTCTTTTATATGGAAACTTTTCCATGAGCTATGTATAAAGTTAGGATATACCTAATAATAGTTTGATATAGGTGTCTCGGTCTGATCAAAAAACAACTTCATCAAATTGAGAAATAGAGGAAAGAGAGCTCATGGCACAAATATTTTGTTACCATTATTTGCTCCTATTGCTCTCTGATATTAAAGAGCTTCAGTAGGAAAACTTCCTGGGTCTTCTTTAGCAAGTTCCTTCAAGCCCCAAGTGCATTTCTTCTCTGAGATCCAAAGTTAACCAATTGCAAGTTTATATACTTTCAGTCTGGAAACTCATGTAAAAGGGCCTTTTCCCTTTAAATTATTCAGAAATAAAACTTTCACAACCAAAATGGAACAATATTATATTAAAAACAATTTTCCCGAACTTGAATTTTGAATCTGAAAGTTAGGTCTATAAACCTAGCAGTCCCAAGGTGGAAAAAAACTTCGGGAACTATATAATAATTAGGTGCTTTTTAGGTGCTAATTAGGGCCTCTAATTAAAAGTTAGGTGCTCCTTTAGTTTTTGAGAAAATCAAAAAAAACTATGGGACTGCTAGGTTTATAAAAGCTAGCAGTCCCCTATAGTAAAAAATATTATTTCAAATTTTTTCTTTGTATCAGAATTAGGTGCTTTTCAGGTGCTCCTAAATAGTCCAAGAAAAAATAGAATTGACTAATTATTAACTGAGTTACAGATTTTTTTTTTAATTATTAGGGGACTGCTGGCTTTACGTTTACATGTTGGTGTGTCAGAGTGGCAAAAAAACTTCGGAATCTATACGTATAATAATTAGATGCTAATTAGGGCCTCTAATTGAAAATTAGGTGCTCCTTTAGTTTTTGAGAAAATCAAAAAAACTAAGGGCCTGCTAGGTTTATGAAAGCTAGAAGTCCCCTATGGTAAAAACTATTTTTTCAAAATTCTCTTTTGTATCAGAATTAGGTGCTTTTTAGGTGATCCTAAATAGTCAAAGAAAAAATAGAATTGATTAATTATTAACTGAGTTACAGATTTTTTTTTAATTATAAGGGGACTGCTGGCTTTATGTTTTCTTGTTGGTGTGTCAGAATGTCAAAAAAACTTTGGGAACTATATAATAATTAGTGCTTCTCTAGTTTTTGAGAAAATCAAAAAAAACTAAGGGCCTGCTAGGTTTATGAAAGCTCGAAGTCCCCTATAGTGAAAAATATTTTTCCAAAAATTTCTTTTGTATCAGAATTAGGTGCTTTCTAAGTGCTTCTAAATAGTCGAAGAAAAAATAGAATTGAATAATTATTAACTGAGTTACAGATTTTTTTAAAATTATTAGTGGACTGCTAGCTTTACGTTCACATGTTGGTGTGTCAGAATGGCAAAAAAACTTCGGGATCTATATAATAATTAGGTGCTTTTTAGTCCCCTATAGTAAAAAATATTTTTCCAAAATTTTCTTTCATATCAGAATTAGGTGCTTTTAAGGTGCTCCTAAATAGGCGAAGAAAAAATTGAAGGGATTGATTATTAACTGAGTTACAGATTTTTTTTTCATTATTAGGGGACTGCTGGCTTTACGTTTACTAGTGGTGTGTCACAATGGAAAAAAACTTCGAAATCTTTATAATAATTAGGTGCTTTTTAGGTGTTTATCAGGGTCTCTAATTGAAAATTGGGTGCTCCTTTAGTTTTTTGGGAAATCAAAAAAAAACTAAGGGACTGCTAGGTTTATGAAAGCTAGCTGTCCCCTATAATAATTTTTTTTTGTTTCAAATTTTTCTTTTGTATCAGAATTAGGTGCTTTTTAGGTGGTCCTAAATAATCGAAGAAAAAATAGAATTGATTAATTATTAACTGAGTTACAGATTTTTTTTTTAATTATTAGGGGACTGTTAGCTTTCATAAACCGAGCAGTCCCTTAGTTTTTTTTGATTTTCTCAAAAACTAGAGGAGCACCAAATTTTTAATTAGAGGCCCTAATTAGCACCTAAAAAGCACCTAATTATTATATAGATCCCGAAGTTTTTTGCCATTCTGACACACCAACATGTGAACGTAAAGCTAGCAGTCCCCTTATAATTAAAAAAAAAATCTGTAACTCAGTTAATAATTAATCAATTCTATTTTTTCTTGGACTATTTAGGAGCATCTAAAAAGCACCTAATTCTGATACAAAAGAAATTTTTGGAAAAATATTTTTCACTATAGGGGACTACTAACTTTCATATACCTAGCAATCCCTTATTTTTTTTTGATTTTCTCAAAAACTAGAGGAGCACCTAATTTTTAATTAGAGGCCCCAACTAGCACCTAGAAAGTGCTTATTATATAGATCCCGAAGTTTTTTTGCCATTCTGACACACCAACATGTAAACGTAAAGCCAGCAGTCCCCTAATAATTAAAAAAAAATCTGTAACTCAGTTAATAATTAATCAATACTATTTTTTCTTGGACTATTTAGGAGCACCTAAAAAGCACCTAATTCTGATACAAAAGAAATTTTTGAAAAAATATTTTTCACTATAGGAGACTACTAGCTTTCATAAACCTAGCAATCCCTTAGTTTTTTTTTTTTTGATTTTCTCAAAAACTAAAGGAGCACCTAATTTTTGATTAGAGGCTCTAATTTGCACCTAAAGAGCACCTAATTATATAGTTCCTGAAGTTTTTTTCCACCTTGGGACTGCTGGGTTTATAGATCTCTGGAAGTTGTTCTGGAATTGGAAAACTCACATTCAACAAGTAGGTAAGGTTTCTTGTAGTGGAAAAAATCTATTTTCACGAACTGTCGGTGTAGAAACCTGGAATGTAAATGTATTATTCAGCCTGAAAAAGACAAAAATGTATTATTATTATTAACCACCCAAAAAGATCCATAAAGCCTCTGTTGGTCCATTTGTGTCATATCCAGAGCCAAAACCAACTTGCTTGCTGGTTCAATTTGGAAAAGGGATGCCTGGAAAACAACTTTATATTAGTGAAAATTCAATGTAGGAATGTTACAAATTACCTATTCCAGCTTCCAATGACATTCTATCCTGAAAAAAAATATATATCCAACGGTGTCCAGGGCATCCTACTCTGAAAAGCATAAAATCCTCATAAACATATCCTGAAAAGCATGAAAATCAAAACAACACAGTTTAGGAACAGGGAAAGGAAACCTTGTTTTAGGTTTTACAATATTCTGGAAGCAACTTGAAGGGGCTCATGATGTCCAAGAAGCTACGTTGAAGGTTCATCTGAAACACACAAAACAAAAATTTATTCAGCTGGTAATATTCTGGAAACAACTTATGTCCAGGAAGCTGCCTGATGATGTTGATATTGTCTTCATTTGGAACACACAAATCAAAATTATGGAAGAGAGCATTCAGCTGTTCTGACTCTCTTTGGGCTTGATCCACTATTGAAATTACATTGTACCGACACGCAACAGCATCCATAATTTAACCCTCTTTTCGCCAGTATCAGTTTTGACGCTCAAACCACAAATGTTGGTGGATATTGGTGAAATGCAACTTCAAATTTTTGATTTTGAGTGAATGGAAAGTTTACAGCCAAATGCTCAATTAATATCTATATGTGGAAAATGTACTATTACCTTTCGTTTTTGTTTTTTGTTTTGGGACTTACACACCTCATTTGAGACTTTCGCCAGAAATAATTAAGAGTCTACTTCACTTGATTAGGCTCAGATTCTTCAGGATTTTGGGGAAAGTTCACCCTAAAAAATAAAAAATGACACAATTTTTATGGATATCAATGAACTTTTACATTTTATTTTTTTTTTGGAAAACTACTGAAGGGAAATTTGCGAAACTTCCAGCAGGAAAAAAGGAAAAGTTAGGAGCTCATCATACTAAAAGTTTAAATTATTCATATCCAGTGAAAAGTAACAAAATGGGAAACTATTGGAAATCAACTTGCAAAATTCAAAGTAAGCAAAAATGTACCCTCTTGCATTTTGATTTTTTTCTGGAAAACTGCTGAAGGGAAAATAATGAAATTTTCTGGAGAAAAAGAGGAAAGCTAGGAGCTCATTATACTAAACTTTCAAACTTACCCAAAGAAAAATAAAATGGGAAATTAATAGAAATCAACTTGCAAAATCCAAACCAAGGAGAAATGCACCCTCTTGCATTTCAATTTTTTTTCTGGAAACCACTGAAGGAAAAAGTATGAAACTCTCAGGAGAAAAAAAGCAAAGTTAGGAGCTTATCATACTAAAATTTCCAACTGATCTAGTGAAAAATAACAAAATGAGAAATTAATGGAAATCAACTTGCAAAATCCAAATTAAGCGAAAATGCACCCCCTTACATTTAAATTTTTTCTGGAAAACTACTAAAGGGAGAATTATGAAACTTTCAGCAGAAAAAGAGGAAGGTTAGGAGCTCATCATACTAAAATTTCACACCTATCCAGTGAAAAATAACAAAATGGGAAATAAATTAATGAAAATCAAACTTCAAAAACTAATAATGGAAATCAACTTGCAAAATCTTAATTAATGAAACCTCTTAGAATTATTTTTTTTTCTGGAAAACTACTGAAGGTAAAATCATGAAACTTTCGGGAGAAAAAGAGGAAAGTTAGGAGCTCATCATACTAAAATTTCAAACTTTTCCAATGAAAAATAACAAAATGGGAAGTTAATGGAAATCAGCTTGCAAAATACAAATTAAGCAAAAATGCACCCTATTGTACTTCGAGTTTTTTCTGGAAAACTACTGAAGAGAAAATTATGAAACTTTCTCGAGAAAAAGAGGAAAGCTAGGAGCTCATTATACTAAAATTTCGAACGTATATCCAGTGGAAAATGACAAAATGGGAAATTAATAGAAATCAACTTGCAAAATCCAAATCAAGCAGCTCTCTTGCATTTCAATTTTTTTCTGGAAAACCACTGAAGGAAAAAGTATGAAACTCTCAGGAGAAAAAGAGCAAATTTAGGAGCTTATCAGACTAAAATTTCCAACTTATCCAGTTAAAAATAACTAAATGACAAATTAATGGAAATCAACTTGCAAAACCCAAATTAAGTGACAATGCACCCCCTTACATTTAAATCTTTGTAAAGCTACTAAGGGTAAAATTATGAAACTTTCAGGAGAAAAAGAGGGAAGTTAGGAGCTCATCATACAAAAATTTCGAACTTTTCCAGTGAAAAGCAATTTTCACCAGAAGTGATATTGATAAGGCTCAGATGACTTGCCCGGGACTTTGTTCACAGGGGGGCTCACCTAAAAAAGTGTTGGTTTTGTAGTTTGATGACAGAACAATTAAAATGTGCTAATAACATGGAAACATCAAAGTTATTTATGAAACCTCAACATCAGCAGAACTTCAATTTACTTATAAGTGGATGACCCTGTACTTAATTCACTGTTTACATGAAAACCTGAGGCATAAGTTGCATTTGAAAAATGAAAGTCAGCCAGTCAGCTCTGATAAGTTATGTTTTTGTCAATGAATGTGAAGAAAATGCCCATATAAACATAAATAAGAATATGTCAACACAAAGTTTCAACTCGTGTTCCAAAGTGTCTAGATTTTTCCAGATACCTAATTAACTTGACTCCTAGACTATTATTAGGCCTACTAATCAACTATTGACCAAATTCTCATAAATCCTTCAATGACTGGCTTTCCAAGAGTGCACACAACACCTCCATAAGTGTCAAAAAAAATTGAATACTTTCAAATTGCCTTTTTGAAAAATATACCTACAACTGGATAGCTACATATTATATGTCTCTAGCAATCAGCTAAAGAGTATTTTTGTGTAATAATATGCACCTTCATATTGAATTCATTTTGAAAATAGCTAAAAATGTTAGTGGACTACCATTAGCCATTACCCAAAGCTAAGGTTAGTGTTAATTTGGGTTAGTTGTGTTGGTAGGGGCTTGTGGTTGTTGCTAGTGGTAGGGCTTGAAATTTATGATAATCAGGACTTATTTTGGGACACTTTTAAGACATTGGAGCATTACACAAAAACATCTTTGGATGGTTTCCAGTGACAGTAGCTAACATTTGTAGCTATGGATTTAAAGTGGCTTAAACAGCCATTCAATTGAAAACTGGACAAAAATTAATTTTTTTTTTCACTCCAGCATTCTATTATAACTGTACCTACATCCAGTATATTTTCAAACAGTACACAGCATTCTCTTACAGCAGCAACTACATCCAGAATTTTCCTGGATCATTCATCTCCATCTCTCACACAAAATTTATTCAATTTCTCTTTTTTAACGCACGTAAGATTTTCTGGAAAACTTCTTCCTTTGACATTAAAAATTCTAATTCCTGGACCTCCGGATTCTCTATAAAATTCACTACTTGCCCAATAACTATTCAAATTTAAAAAAAAAAACATTAAATAAGAAAGTTTTGGATTGTTCCAAACTCAAAATTTGAAAATTCTATCAGAAAAAGCAAAGATTGTTCATTCAAATTTGAAGAAATCCAGAAATCCCAATTGCTAGAACATAATTGTTGTACTGCTTACTAAAATCCAGTAGCCATTGGTACACTGGGCACACGACGTGATAATCGGAAAATGGCGGCCGAAAAATCTTAACTTGTGTGAGAAAAATCGATAATCCCCGATCGCGACTGTCTGTACTAATCCATCGGCGATCGGTACTGCGACTAAATCCCTCTGTTAAACTTTTCCTTTGTCTTGTCCGACAAAGAAATCCGAATCTCAAATCCCCGCCAACCCCCCCAAAAAAAGGTAAACTATGATAAGGTTATAAATATGAAAAAGTGAGATAGGCAAAAAAACTTACTGCGTATTACGATGATCTGTAACTTGTGTTTATAGAATCGTAAAAATAACAATTATTCTAAGATTTCTGGTAAACGTCTAATTTACAGTGTCGCAATTGACTGTAAAAAAGGGTCATTTACATCCACTTAACTTAACGTACAAAAAAATTAATAACTAAGAGAAGTTGAAGATCATGTACTTCTATGTAGGTAGTTGTTTACATACACTTAAAAATTAAGAAAATTAACGTGGCTCAGAAAAGTTGAACCAACTTCAACTTAAGGAAATCTGTGCGTTAATTTCAATAATAATTAAGAATGACGGACAGATTGAACTAGTCTGTGATTATGAATGTCATTGGTGATTGCACATATAGGAAAATTAACTTCATTTTAAATACACAACTTGTCAGTTTCGTACGTTAATTATAATTTTCTGTACGTTAAGTTATGTGGATGTTAATGACTCTTAAGACGTATCGATAAGATCGGAAATATTTATGATTTTGTAAAATTTTCTGTAAGCTACAGAAAGCGCAAGATATCTATATGCTATTGCTTACAGATGGGCTCAGAATTGACCTATTAGCTTACATAGTATATTCACATAAACTTGATATGAAACTAATGCTGTTATCTTAAATTAATGGAAACTCTACAGATCTGTTTTCCATAAAGAATGAGTGTAAAAATAGCTGTAGTGATGGTGAATTCTTTGGCAGTTTTTGACAGAAAAAGTACCTCTTTTTAACTCTACTTAGGAAAGAAGTTGTTAACAATGAAGTTTATGAACATAGACTAAAATTTTGTTAAAATTAAACTCTCTGATGAGAGATTTGAGAGCACCTCCAGACTGAAAGGAAGCTTTAAAGATAATGTCATTTATCACCACTTAGGAGTGGATGATAGGGAAAATTGAGAAGAAAGTTACAGGGAAAACACTTCTTACAGAAGAAGAAGTTTTTGTAACAATGAACATGCAAATGTAGAAGAATCAGATGAGATGTATGTTTTATTGCTGTAAATTTTCTTCTCCTGACTGAGGAATTGAAAATGTCCGTATAAAGATCAGAGGAGAAGCAATGAATTCTGGAATATATCAGGGGATGAAACAGGAAAAATAACATGGTGAATAGACACTATATACAAGACAAGACAAAGAACTGGAAAAAATAGACCTTGAAGACAAATGCCTATGAATTTCACACAGCATACTGTTCATTCTCATCTCAAGACCTTATAGGCTAGAAAATTGCAATAGTAGATAAGAACTTGTAAATTTTGCAAGTTGCTTGTAGAAACAGCAGTGTCATCTGATGTTTATACTTTCTCCATTAATCAAAACATCATCTTTGCTTCCATGAATATTATTATTCAGGATAAACATTATTTAGAGTTGGAAGTAAAACACATCCAAAAACTCTCTTATAATTCATCTGCTACCGTTTCGTTCCAATTAAGAATGATCTCTATTATTATCCAAAGCGATTGTGCCTTTACTCAACTTATTAGATTTCTTTACTAGCTCTGTCCATCTTCATATTAGAGAGATATCAAGGGTGGTTTTCAAATAACACCAAATTATATAAAACACATATAATTTTGATTGGTTTCAGATCTGATAAAATCGAAAACTACGACGGTCCTCATGACGACATAATAGTTTTCGCTTTGTCAGCAATGCAAAATAAAATCCCCATGCATATTTGCAACGAAGATCATTTCGGTTATATCACAGTGCCTTTAGAGCAAGACGACAAGCTAAGCAACGATTTCGAAAATTTATTGAACATTAAAATGGACAAATTGAATACAGGCGAATCTCTATACGTGAATCCAAGACTTGCAAAGTATACGTCGCTACCGGAAAAGGACTCGATGATGTTTGATAAAATTTACATGATTAATTTAAAAAGACGGCCTGATAGGAGGAAGCGGATGCATAAGTGTTTTGATGAACTAGGGTTGGAAGTGGAAACTGTAGATGCAGTGGACGGCAAGTAAGAATTAATTTCAATTTGCTAAAACATTTTAAATAAGGTATATATTTTAGGCTTTTAAATGAAACATTTTTACAGTCTCTGCAATTTATGCCCGACTTTCAAGACCCATATCACAAAAGACCTATGAAACTAGGAGAAATTGGTTGCTTTTTAAGCCATCTTGAGGTTTGGCAAGAGGTAACCAGAAAATAAAATAAAATCGGATTTTATATTATTTTTGTTTGTAGATTGTAAAAAATAATTACCATACAACGTTGGTCTTAGAAGATGATGTAAAATTTGAATCATTCTTCAGGACAAGAGTTGAAAACGTTATGTCTGAAGTCCTAAAGATTTCTGATTGGGATTTAGTGTAAGATTTTGTTTGAGGTAAATTATAATAATAGTAAATAATGTATTCAATAGGTATTTTGGTAGAAAACGTTTGCAAGAAAAAGAAGAACCATGGATTGCAAACTATCTAGTACAGGCAGGCTATTCCTATTGGACCTTAGGATATACTTTAAGTTTAAAAGGAGCTAAAAAGTTGCTTGATGCCCAGCCTTTAACCAAATTGGTATGATAATGATAAAATGTTACATTTAAAATAATTTAAATTTTACATTTTTGTTACAGGTACCTGTTGATGAATATTTGCCAATTCTATTTGACAAACATCCGCACGAAAATTGGAAAGGGTACTACCCTAAAAGGGATTTAGTAGCTCTCTCTGCTGCTCCTCTTTTAATATACCCTACTCACTATACAGGGGATAAAGGATATATTAGTGATACAGAGGATTCAGTTGTTATACCAGAAGAAGTTCTGGTTAAAGAAGATTTATAACTTTTTTTACTAATTTAGTTGTGATTTTTGGTGCCATAATTTTACTAAATTTTTATATTAAAACATGTGCCTTATTAGTCTATAAGATTCTATCAAATAATTAAACTGATTTTATATTAATTATGTATTTAGTTTCCTCATTCTCCAAGCTAATTTCCAATTTCTCCCCATCTTTGACCCGATTTGGGATCAATCGATGGCAATATCAAAATAATATCACCTGCAGGGAATATTAAATCGAGGCATAGGAAGATTATTAAAGCTTTTTCCCCTCTTGGTAATCAGTGGCAAATATTGGTTTAAACTTCCAAAACGTGATATACTTATTTGTACCTTCAACCTAATAATATTATGTATTATTGCCTTTTGTAAAGTTAATACTAGAAGAGAATTTATACCTATTGAAAAGGAAAATTGCAACTTTACAAGTTTAAATCAATAGTTTTGAGGTATTAGTTGAAGTACATTAAAGTTTTAATATAATATATTAATATATTACATTAAAACTGGTTGTTTGTTGTTTCCAGACTATTTACCTTCACTAATCTAGTAGAACCTAAACTTTGCTAAAACAAACTGATTAATTCAGACGTTAGAGTACCTAAGTTTCTAGTTCTCTATAAGTCTTGTAATTATGTGGGATGTGCCCAAATGGCTCAAAACTTCACACATTTCAAATTGAAAAATAACATTGTGGCAAACCTATATGAAGGACTACTCGTTAAGATTCCCAACCAATAATTTCAAAAATTACCTAATTACTATGATTTAACAAATTTGAACTTTATCCAGACTCAACAAAAACTACCCTCAGACTGGTTTCATGAAAAAGAGTTCATTCTCCTTTTTATCATCAAAAATGCAATATTTGTCAGGACAAAACAATCAGAGGATTAAACAACGCATAAAAATGGCTTTTTCTGACTGCGAGGTCGGTTGTCAGGACTCTAAACCGCTTGTAGCAGAGCTGAAATTAAATTTACTTCGTTGAACGACTTTATTTATTTTGCCCTGGGCTCATGGCTAGTTTGTACAGGACTTTATGTATTGTGTATTTTTTGCTTTTAGTATAAGTCTCATTTATTATTGGATCAGCACGTACGAAGTGAACTTGAATTTGTTTAGCCAGAAAAAAAATTCCAGTTCAAGCTTTATTACATGTTAAATTTCCACAATATTTGCACTAGCAAAGTTAATTCATCCAGAAATCAACTTAAACGCTTTTGTCTTTGATAATTTGAATTCTATTAACAAATAAGAAGCCAACAACAGTGTATACTAGTTTTAAACTAGAGAGCGTACAATAGGAATACAGTGCATTTACTTATCTAATTTGTCTCCATAAAGTTTGAAGCTATCCCAAACTTGAGCACAGGTGAAACAAGATAGGAAGCTACCGAACTTCCAGCCAACATACATAACTTTCCAATCCTAATCCGTTTAAAGTCGAGAAAATTACCCGAACAGTTCGATAATGTTCTATTTGAAACTGAAAAAAAAAGTTACTTAGTTATAATAATCTATTCAAATTAAAGGAATTTCAATTAGCAGCAATGAGAAAGAACAATTTGAAAATTAAGGGAAAAATCCGAATTTGATGTTAATTAACTTAAATGAAGTAACGAGAAAGGAATTTTAAAACTTTCAAGTTTTGCACTAGGTATACCTACTCATTAAATATTGTATAAATTCAATACAAATTTTGTGGTTCGAAAAAGATTTATTTTCCGGAGGTATCTTTACACTACATTTACAAACTGTAATAAATTGTATGAAAGCTGACAAATACAAGTTGGACTCTGGGGTTTATCGGGCTTTAAAGAAAGATTTACAACTACTACCCATTTTGAAATTCAATATGAGTCAATTTCTATTAGAATAGATTTTTCTATGAAAGTTTGTAAACTCCCACAAAGCTGATTCTAAATTGTCTAATCGCAATATTTGATAACTAATAACCGTGACATCGATTAACATTAGAGAGATAAGGAATCTAATTAGCAGAGGAACTAGGTGTATAATTACGGCTTTAGATGTTTAGTGATTATGGATATATTTGTTTATATGTCTAATCCAATCTCTCTGGGCTGTGTATATATATATATATATATATATATATGTCATAGAAAGTAAGTAAACCAGGAATAGAATAACGTGTATGTAGGAAGCTTTTGATGTAACAGTTTTTAGAACTACTACCTAACTCAAACTCAAATAAGGCAATTTTGTAAAAAGCTTTGATCATTTTTGCTATAGGGCAGTTTGTAAAACTTTCTAAAAATTCTCTAGAAGGGTTCAAATAAGGAATAGTTTTTATAGTTAAATTTTACTTTTCCCAATCCAAAGAGGAAGTGAAAATTAATGGAACAATAAGTAAAACTTTTACGCAATTCTCTTATAGGGATTAGAATACGGCAAGTAAATTTTGATTTTGCCTCAAAAATTACCGAGTTAAGCTTGATTCAATGTTAAACCGATTTTTAATAAATTGTATTGTAAAACTGCGTTTCAAAGAAAATCAAATATAGCCTACCTTACAAAATATGTAAAAATAAACTCCCTAATATTGACGTCTTTTCCTTCCAAAAGGTTGGACACGACGAGATGGAAAAAATATCGCATGGAAAGGTTCAATGACTACATTGTGGTGTGAATTTTTCAATTTCCTGAAGTCCTTTTTTCAAAGATTTTGGCTTCAAATCTGTGTAAGTTCGAGTTTGGGGCACCCAAAAATGATTCTTTAAGAAAAACTCAACATAAGACATATCTCTCAAAGCAAATTTTTCCAACAGAATGGAAATATAGAGCCTCGAATAAATTAATCAATTTTCTATAAAAACTCCAATTTTCAAGGGTGTTTGAAAAAAATTGGATACATCAATTAATGTACCTATTAAAGAAATTCACAAATTCACAACAATAACAACGCGCAGGTTTCTAACTTTTTAGGACACCCCGTATGAAATTAAAATTTTGCATTTGATAAAGCAATTCATTGTTTTTCAGGGACTTTATTTCCTTATCCTAGCCGCAATCTACAGGGTGTTTTATAGAATTTATAGAGCTTAAATCGTACGACTAGTTCTTGATATATCGGTGTTTGAAAATAAGCATATTTTTAAGATTACCTAGTACCTAATTTTGACTAGGTACCTATCTCTTAGACAAAAGAATTCTGTCATGAAAGTGTAAAATACACATCAGAGAAACCAAATGTGCTTATTGCCTAAACCCTACCTCTCCTGTCTTGGAGGCTTGCCCCTCTAATGATTTTTCTAGAATGAGAAACTACCCCGTATGATACCTCCTTCAAAGGTTTTTTATTCCTCTTTAGAAGCGTGACCATTTGATTCCAACTACAATATAGAACATGCGATCATTTGACTCTTCATCTGAAAAACTCAAAAGCAATTTTGCCTGACAGAGTTGAAGAGCATTCAGCTATTCTAATAAAGCCCAATTGGGCTGAATTCACTTGAAACCACGTTATGCAGCTAACACCCAGCATCAAATCATAATTCAACCATTTCTCGCCGGTATTCGGTAGTGCCCCACTGCTACACTTACCTTTAATAGTATAACCTTAGAGTATAATCGTGTAACAAATGAGATCCTAACCTATTATGGCGTACGGCTTTCCCGGGGGACACCAATTACCAAAAAGAAATAATCAAACCATGATTTGTTGCCCGGGATATTAGTGAAACGCAACTTCAATTGTTAAGAGGAAGTTATTGAAAACATCTACAGCTAAATGCTTATAAAGTCTAAGTCCAAACATGCTCAACTAGAAGTAGCTTACCAAAATTCTGATGTAAAGCGCAGAGGATCATAGCTATTTTTTTAATAGCTTATTCCTCCACAATACAAGGGGGGGGGGTACCTTTGAATTCTGATTTCAAAATATTCAAACCTCAATTGCTCGGTAACCGCTGAGCAAATTGCATTAAAATTTCTAGAATTTGTAGCATTTATTAAGTTCTAAATGGCCTGTAATTTACAATATTTCCAGATTTATAGTTTTTGAGCAAATTGAGTTTGAAGTTTTTGACAAAATGTGGACTAAAAGTCAACTTTGAGGCTCAATTGCTCAAAAACTATTCGAGCTATCGAGATTAATTTTACGCAGATTTATAGAAAATGTAATGCTTTTTCCAATGGTATATAATTTCTCTCAATTTACTCAAAATTTACCAAAGATATGGGCAATTGTTCATGACCATGTCAGGATTTTGAAAATTTTCTAGAGCCAAATATAGGATTTTATTTTTATTTTTGTTTCTGCTTAAAATGGGCATTTGGAATTGATGTCAGGGTTGTTTTCCACTAATTTTGACCCGCTCTATCGATTGATCTACCATTACGAAATGTACGAAAACAGTCATAAATTAATATTCTATACGTTCATGCAATAAGCTCAATTTTTAAATATAATGCCTTTTTCCCGTTCTGATTTTGTATTACCTTGGGATTTTAAATTAACATAATAAAACCTTCATTCTGTGAAAATTTCAGCTTGTAACTCCGACGCGCCCACAAAAGTCAAAATATTTTATAAGGAGCACTCTACTACAAGGCTAAAAGTATAAAGCGAAATAAAATTGTTGAAAATATAAAATATCGATAAAAATTTACATACGTGTAAAATTAGTTAATTTATTATAGAATTAGCCATTGTTGAAAAACTATTGGAAATTTAGTCTTTTCTTTGAACCTCTTGCTTTATCTTGAAATTTTGCTTCTGATAATTTTGAAAATTAAATTTGAAATTTGTTATTTGAACTTATTTCTGTTATATTTGAATTTAAAAAAATCAGGGGTAGTTTGTTCCATTAAATGTAATGATTGCGATAAAAATTACATTGGACAAACATCAACACTTTTAAAAGACAGAATAAATAGACATAAAAGTGACTATAGATTAAATAAAAGAAGTTGCAGCTTATCTGAACATATATTGGACACAAATCATATGTTTGATTTTTTAAATCCTGAAATTT